TATTACTTTATTTTTGTTACTGCATTCTTCAGCTCTGATTGGTACTTTCTTATATTTTCTCTTTGTTGAAGTTCTCCTTGTGTGTTCATCTAGTCTTCTCCAGAGTTTGATAAGCATTTTTATGACCTTACTTTGAACTCTTTATCAGGTTGATTGCTTAATTCCCTCTCATTTAGTTCTTTTTCTGAGGTTATGTCTTGTTCTTTTGTCTGGAACACATTTCTGTCTTCTCATTTGGCCTAACTCTGTATTTGTTTTTAAGTATTAGGTAGTTCAGCTTCATTTCTCAGTCTTTTTTTTTTCTTTTTAAAGTTTTTGTTTAAATTCCAGTTAATTAACATACAATACAATATTAATTTCAGGTTTAGAATGCAGTAATTCAACACTTACATACAATGCCTGGTGTCTATCACAACATACATTTCCCAGTCTTGAAGGAGTGACCTTATGTAAATGTCCTGTCGGGCCCAGAAGTACAATCTCCTCCATTCACCAGAACCAGGTGCTCCTGGGGTGTTTGTTCCCCTTGTAGGTTGCATGTACCCTCTGATATGATGGGGCAGTACTGCCATGGGCACACTGGTAGGTGGGTCTGGCTCTCACGCTAGCTAGCTGCATATCTGACCTTGACTACTTTGGATGTACCTTGTGAGCAGAACTGATCAAGACACCAGGGGTAGGCACCACCTGGCATTAGCAGTCTACAGGGAGGATTCCAAAATGGTGTCCACCAGTACCACAATCAGCACAGCAGAACAAGATAGCAAAAATGACTATTACTAGTGTCTAAGTCCCAAGGAGAGGACCAGTTACCTCCTGTCCCTCCAGCAGGCACTCCAAGATTAGTAAGTAGGTCTCCATAGTCCATACAATTTTGATCTGTGTTTTTGCACTTATTTCTCGATCAAGTAAGTCTACATGTGAGCTCTTTAAGAGTAGATTCTTCTCCCATGCAATTCTAGTTTTCCTGGACGTGTTCCCTATTGGTTTTCAAAGCCACGTATTTTGAGACTTGCCTCTTCTGTGCAGAATCTGAGGGTTTGGGTTCCTAATGTGGAACTCAAATCTCTTACTCCTCAGGAAAAAGTTCATTACCTTTGAGATCCCTTTGTATCATAGAATGCCACTCCTAGAACGTGGGGTTTTTTCCTTAGTGAGATTATATCTCTGCCACTTCTACCTATCTCACTGCCCTTGTTATAGAGGTTCTTGTCATCCAGTTTCTAGTTCCTGTTCAGAGGGAATTATTCCACATGTGGTTATAGATATGTTGTCCATGAGAGGAGCTAAGCTCAGGATCTTCCTTTCTTGCCATCCTGGACTCTCTTAGACCCACCCCGGACAACCATTGTAGGCTAGTCAGACATTTTAAGCTGTAGAATCTTTTTTGCTTTTTAAAAACCAGAAATCCGGGATCCCTGGGTGGCGCAGCAGTTTAGCGCCTGCCTTTGGCCCAGGGCGCGATCCTGGAGACCCACAATCAAATCCCACATCGGGCTCCTGGTGCATGGAGCCTGCTTCTCCCTCTGCGCCTGTGTCTCTGCCCCTCTCTCTCTCTCTGTGACGATCATAAATAAATAAATAAATAAATAAATAAATAAATAAATAAGTAAATAAATTTAAAAAATAAAAATAAAAAAAATAAAAACCAGAAATCCAGGCTCTTGCACATTTTTGGTAAGGTCTTAAGTTAACAGTGTCTTTCATATTTTCATGTAGGCTCTAGGAGATGTCTTCTAGATAATCCAAATTGAAAACTAATATGTAAATTTTCATGTTGTAGCTGTGGTTCCAATGAAATCTAACCGCTATCAAAAATCTCTCTTCCGGGGGATCCCTGGGTGGCACAGCGGTTTGGCGCCTGCCTTTGGCCCAGGGCGCGATCCTGGAGACCCGGGATCGAGTCCCACGTCAGGCTCCCGGTGCATGGAACCTGCTTCTCCCTCTGCCTGTGTCTCTGCGTGTGTGTGTGTGTGTGTGTGTGTGTGACTATCATAAATTTAAAAAAAAAATCTCTCTTCCATACCTAATCTGTACTTTTACCAAGTGACATATTTGTTAAATTTAGCCTTTAATACCTAACTTAAGAGTTATGGATCTGTAAACTAACATGGAGGAAATCATAATGTAGAGCTATCCAGTATGGCTACCCACTAGCTACACTTGGCTATTTAAATCAAAATTTAATTATAATTAAGTATAATTGGGACATCTGGGTGACTCAGTTGGTTAAGCATCCAACTCTTGATTTCCGCTCAAGTCATAATCTCAGGGCTCTGAGATTGAGCCCCAACAGGCTCTGCATTCGGCATGAAATCTGCTTACGATTCTCTTTCTCCCTCTCCTTCTGCCCCCCTCACACTCTCCAAATAAATAAAACCTTTTAAAAAATGAAATTAAGTATAATTTTAAAATTCTGTTCTTCAGTTACATTAAGTGCCTAATAGCTGCTTATGGCTAATGGCTGTCATATTAGACAGCACAGATGTTCCACATCTTCATTTTCTAATAAATGCTCTACAATACAGGAAGTTAAATTTGACAACATTGTCTAGAAAGTACTGATACAAAGCCACTTTAGTTGAAAATGACTTATATACTTATATATAAAAATGCCCATATGATGGCTTTTCAAGAGGAAAAATAACCAGATTATTTATTTATAAATAGAGCCTATAATTTCATTCCATTGTGCCAAAAAAGTGACTCATATTTATTAATCCCACTTTCTTTTCCTAACACTTCTATCCTAAAAGATTTACAACTGCAAAATTGTGTATAGAGTTAGTTCAGGATTTCCAGAATTTATCTAATCCATCTTGTGCTAATCTTCCTTTCTACACATTTGCTCACTAGCTTTTCCACAATGTGCTGACTTAAATGTTTATGATATATACACATATTTTTAAAACTTCTGTCTAATTTACTGTCTTAGACTGCAGCTAATAGCTATTTATAGACAGTCTAATAGCCATTTTTGTGTATCATATTGAGATAAGCCCTTTAAGTGTCATACACCCTCTTACACAAAGTTGAAAAATACAGTATATTTCAACTTTGTATAAGAAACATGACTGCTCAGCCCTTGGTAAGAATTATAAAATATATTTTTCTCCCTCAGTTTTTTCAAAAGCAGACCCTTGTAATAAATTTTGTACTATAATGCTTGAGTCCAGGATGAATCAAGGAAAAGAAAGGTTAGGATGAGCCTGGAACATCTTATGCCAGAAAGTAGAATACTCAAAAAAAATGATAGGGACGTAGTCAGAAAACTTAAGAGCCAGATTGACAGAGTTCCTACTAGCCATATCTGGGAGAAATTAAGTATAATAATGAATTATGAATTGTTAAAAAAAATAAGAACCTGTGAGTTCCTACTGATGATATATTGATTAATAGATAGTTGGATGGTTGGATGGAGAAGAAAGGAAGGCCCTCATTTGTAGTAGAATGCTGACTGATAAATGTGGATAGAATGGTGGAGCTAGAAAATCACCATTGCGTAACCATGACATTAGAGATTGGTTTAGTCAGGAATTATCAGTGGATGCTAACTATAAGGGAAAAGTTTTGACAAGGAGCAAGATACATACTTTTTTTTTTTTACAATCAAATGGAATGTTTTAATATATGATCTACAAAAAAAATTCATACACTTCAACCAAATGGGATTTATTCCAAGAATGCAAGGCTGGTTCAATATTCAAAACTAGTCAACAGGGATCCCTGGGTGGCGCAGCGGTTTAGCGCCTGCCTTTGGCCCAGGGCGCGATCCTGGAGACCCGGGATCGAATCCCACGTCGGGCTCCTGGTGCATGGAGCCTGCTTCTCCCTCTGCCTGTGTCTCTGCCTCTCTCTCTCTCTCACTGTGTGCCTATCATAAATAAATAAATAAAAAAAAATTTAAAAAAATTTTAAAAAAAATTTAAAAAAAAAACAAAACTAGTCAACATTATATCAACAGGCTATAAAAGAAGAATCAGATGATCACATCAATTGTTGGAGGCAACGTATTTGACAACATCTAACATTCGTAATAACAAAAACCTCAGCAAATTAAGAATAGATGGAAATTTTCTAAACTTGATAAGAAAACTTTGAAAAAAAATACTTCAACTAACATCATACCTACCTAATGAAAACCTGAACATTTTCCTCCTAATGTGAGGGATCAGTCAAGGGCATTCTTTCTTGTTACTCCTATTCAACATTATGTTGGAAGGCCCACTAGTGCAGTAAGAAAAGAAAGTCTTGTCTTCCCCCTCACATACTGCATCTTAGTTCCAAGGAAGAAAATAAGTGTAAAATGGAAAAACCAGTGAGAGGCAGATGGGCCTCTGAATGTGATACCTTGAGAGACATTCAGCGTCACTTCTGTCATATTTGTATGTAAGTGGGATGCATAATCTGAATTTAATCATGAGAAAACATCAGACAAAACCCAAATGAAAAACATTCCATTTAAGAAAAAAAAAATGACCTGTATTCTTTAAAATATCAGTGTTACGAAAGGAGAGAGGAATGCAGGGGGAAGGCAGAAGAACTATTCCAGATTAAAGGAAACCAAAGAAACATGACAGCTTAATGCTAATCTTTGACCTAGGGCTGGATCTGGAGTAGAAAAAAAAAATGATAGGACATAATTGGGACAGTAGCCAAGATTGGAATATAAGCGAAAGATGAGATTTTTAAAAATATTGTATTGATGTTAAATTCCTTACATTTACCAACAGTGCTATGGTTAGAGCATACCTTTGTTCTTAGGAAATACAGAGTATAGTATTAAGAAGCAAAGGGGCATGATGTCTGTAACTTGTTCTCAAGTGGTTCAAGGAAATAATTGTGTGTGAGAGAAAATACAGTAACAAATGTACCACCTCTTAACAGTTGGTGAATTTGAGCATGAGCTACAAAAGAGTTTTCTATTTAAGTCTTGCAACTTTTCTGTAAATTTAAAATTATTTCAAGAAAATTGAAAAATTCTATCCCATGTTTTCTAGCTCTTTCTAAGGCACAGACGGATGTGATGACAATGAGAATGCAATCGGAGCGACTTTCAAAAGAATATGACCGGCTCCTGAAAGAACACTCGGAACTTCAGGTGGGTGACCTCCACTTTATGAACCTACATTTTATGAAATAGTGATTACTAAGTCAACTATTTGGGTTGTCTGCCTTTCCCAAATCAAGAGGATGTACTCAGTCCTGCCTTCTTAAAAATGGTTAAGGAAATCAGACTTTTACCTGGAGGGTGAGGATGAGGCCATTACATGAAAATGCAAGACAGTCATAGCATAGAGATTTACTGACGTGCTAACTTACTGTGTTCTAGTTCTAGTGAAATTCTAAGCAAAAGAATCGAGCCACAAAAATGGCAGCATTGAAAAATGGGCTGTTTCTGTAAACATTTCATTTTGCCATTGGCAGTGTTTGCTCTATTCATGCCAAAAATAAGGTCAAAATTTGAAGTCCCACCTCACACAATTCCTCCTATCCTAATGTTTTAGACATCTTAGGTCAAAACCTATGGCATTCAAGATACATGGATTTAAAGACAGAAGTAGAAACACCCTTTTGTTATTAAAGTCACAGAGTCAAGGGCTATAGCTTTTCCTTCTCTTCCCCTCCAACCCAGCAAGAGTCCGTGCCCTGCATTCACCCATGATAAATTTGACTGTCCCTTCCCTGTTGACTTGGCAGCCCCTAATCTGAATTGATTTCCCAGCCACATTTTGACCACATGTGGGGAGATTTGGGGGAAAAGATCATTCCAGAGGCAGCGCTGGCCCTCCCAGTTCCTCCTGGGATGGGGCAGGTGGGGGTTGGGGGAGGGGGGCTTGTGCTGAGAATTTGGCAGCTTTTGTGGCTTTCAATCAGAGCTTTTTAGCAATTACAGCTCTACAGTTGCTTCACTGTAGGAGAAGCCCTAGTCCCAGGACTCATTTCCCTGCATCTTAATGGTCATGGTATCACAAGGGTCCAGCACTGTGCCTGACAAAAGGCAAGCAGGTACTATACCAGGTACTATACTGATAGAACTCAAAGTCAGACCTGGAATAACTGATTCTCATACTAACTTTATGATCCCAAGCAGGTTATATTACCCCTCTACAGCTCACTTTTCTTCATCTGTAAAATCAGAGTAATAATACCACCTGGCCTGCTGGGTTTTTAGTAGAATTAAATAGAATGTGTAGCGTTGTGCCTGGCTGATAGGAAACCCTCAAGAAATGATACCACTAGAATTATCATTATCGGGATCTCTGGATGGCTCAGCGGTTTAGTGCCTGCCTTTGGCCCAGGACGCAATCCTGGAGTCCCGGGATCAAGTCCCAGGTCGGGCTCCCGGCATAGAGCCTGCTTCTCCCTCCTCCTGTGTCTCTGCCTCTCTCTCTCTCTCTCTGTCATAAATCAATCAATCAATCTTAAAAAAAAGGATTATCATTATCAGCAGCAGCATACATTCCTCTGTAGAAGTTTTTTTTTAAAAAAAAGATTTTATTTATTTATTCATGAGAGACACAGAGAGAGAGAGAGGCAGAGACACAGGCAGAGGGAGAAGCAGGCTCCATGCAGGGAGCCTGATGTGGGACTTGATCCTGGATCTCCAGGATCAGGCTCTGGGCTGAAGGCAGCGCTAAACCGCTGAGCCACCAGGGCTGCCCTCCTCTGTAGAAGTCCTGCTGGAAAATGACTTCTTCCCAACCAGCCACTTTAGACCTGATTTAGAACCAGTTAAGAAGTAATGCAAAACGCATTGGTAATCTGGTATCCCTAGCTGAGTTGCATGTTTAGTTTAACCTACTTTGACAATAGGGCAATCCAGAAAAGGGTAGAAACCATGTGTGCTTCGAACCTGGGATACCAAGAGCTCAGTTCCCATGTTCTAGAGTAGGTGGTCAGATTTTCAGCAAGACCACCGTTTCCTCATCTCTAAAACACAGGTGCTAAAATTGCTACATCACCGTGGCCAGATGAGAATTACTCCAGGGCATCCTTCAGGATCCGCCATGGAAAGTGAAGAAGCCTTTTGCCTAGAAATAGAACTTTTTTTCCTCCTATTTGTGAGGTTAGGGTGTACTCAAAAGGATGAGTATCCATACCAGTGGACTTTGCCAGGTCAGAAACGTTTAGATCCCTGGATGGAGAAAAAAGAAACAATATTCTCTCATTTTCTTACAGCCACTGACCATCACTGAATGTCCCCTTGTGGTAACAGCTAATGATCTCTTAATCCCTGAAAAGTATATGTGACAGTGAGATTCCTTCAACCCATTTTCTTTCCTCTCCCCAAAACCCCTTCTGTTTGGAGCTTATGCAATCTTGATTTGCAGATGCTAAGAAGTTTTTCCGAGTAATTCCTTCCCCAGAAAGAAGTTGTCACACCTATTTCTTTGAAAAATGGCCCATCCCAGATATGCCAGGTGCCACGCTGAGAGTTGGGCCTTGTTCACTAGTGCATTTAAGGCCTCGATCTACTTTCTTCTGTTATTTTTGAAATATGTAATGGATAACATTTATTGAAGATGTGCTCTGGACCAAGCACTTAGTTAATGGCGTCACGTGTGATTTTGTTCACTCTCGTCACAGCCCACTAAATTAAAATATTTTAATACCCTATTTTGTGGATGAGGAGAACAAGACCCAGAAATTATGTTATATAACATACCTAACATCACTGAACTAGAAATCAGTAGGAATCCAAGTTGGATTCACAATCAGGAATTTTTTCTCCGATCCCCCAGTCCTTAAGAACTCTGCTGTTCGGCCTGTTCTGGTCATTGGACTGTGTTCTCGGATCCTTGGCCTTCCTACTTCTCCTCTATTCAGTCTTAGAGAGCAACACTTCCCAAGCTCCTCCGCTCTCTTCTGGGCAGGTTTAGCAAAGGGAGGCGGCACCAGAAGGAGACTGAGGGCAGGAAGGACAAAGCCAGGGATTTTTTTTCCCACTCTCTCTGTTTTAGGTGGCCTCTGCTGCAGCAGCCCTATCTCTTTCCATGGTCCCAATACCTACTGGGCAACTTCCACATGGTGGCCCTTGCTCCTGAGGTCCTTAACACTATCTCCTCCCTTGTGCCTCCAGTCCAAGGAATGGTAGTGGTTCTGTACTAATCTCTGAGGTGTCTTACCACACTGTCGCGTCTGTCTCCTCTTTCATCACCTGTAATACCAATATTTATTATAACCATAATAAATATCTGTTTGAAGGGGAAAAACAAAACCTCTCTCAGCTCCATTAGTTTGCCAGTTCTGTAAACCTCGGATGGATTATTTGACATCCAGGCACCTTGGCTTCTTCATTACTTAAATGGCGGTTATAATACCTTATGAGCATTAAACCAGATCCTGTACAAGAAGGCACTTTTAATATTTTTAAACAAGAAAAGCTCTATATCCCTGTAAGGTGCTAGTAGTTATTTCTTGATTGGACACATTTTTCCCCATTTGCCCTCCATTGTCCAGTGTGAGAACTTGTAGAAGATTCTGAGATTTAAGTGTCATTACGTGACTACCATTTTCTTAAAAGCGACTTGTACACTTTGATATTCACCTTATGAACTCTACTTGAGAAGCAAAAAAAATGCTGTAGACCATCAGCTGTATCAACTTGCCTTTCATGAATTTTACTTCTGTTGTGAAACCAACCTTAATAATTGAATTTTATCTTTAAAGTTCCTTCCTTGGGAAACTTAGCTTTCCCAATTTTACATAGTTGGTTTGCTTTAAATAAAATAATCATAAAATGACCATTAAAATATTAAGGAAATAGGGGCAGCCCGGATGGCTCAGTGGTTTGGCGCCGCCTTCAGCTGAGGGTGTGATCCTGGAGTCCTGGGATTGGGTCCCACGTTGGGCTCCCTGCATGGAGCCTGCTTCTCCCTCTGCCTGTGTCTCTGCCTCTTTCTCTCTCTGTGTCTCTCATGAATAAATAAAATCTTTTTAAAAAAATAATAAATAAACAAAATAAAATATTAAGGAAATAGGGCAGCCCGGGTGGCTCAGCAGTTTAGCACCGCCTTCAGCCCAGGACCTGATCCTGGAGTCCCGGGACCGAGTCCCACATCGAGCTCCCTGCATGGAGCCTGCTTCTCCCTCTGCCTGTGTCTCTGCCCCTCTCTCTCTCTCTCCCTCTCTCTCTCTCTCTCTCTCTCTCTCTGTCTCTCATGAATAAATAAATAATCTTTTAAAAAAATAAAATATTAAAAAAATAAAGGTGGAAGAGGAGAAAGCTGATTTCCTTACCATAAACGAATCCCACTTTGCATTTTTTAAACCTGTCTGGATTTCCCCATCTGGTCCCCTTCCTGTTATAAGCACTAAATAAATATTAGAAAATAATCCCTTCAAGATACAGAGTCTTTGCCTTTCCTTGTTTGCCCTGGCTGTCTTCTAGAAAAGAAAAAGCAAAACTAACTGAGGGTTATGGGCAGTACAAACCCATCAGCACTTGCCAGTTTTCAAATATCATTTTGGAAAATCACCCTTCACTTAAAGTACTTATCCAGAATAACAGCTCCATTAAAGCTGTAATTTTTTTTTAATCTTCATGTCCATTTTTATTTTGTATAAGTACAAGATTATTTCCTTTTTTTAAACTGAACTATAATTGATGTGCAGTGTTACATTAGTCTCAGACATAAAATGATTCAACAATTCTGTGCATTTCTCAGTGCTTATCACAAGTGTACTCTTCATCCCCATCACCTATTTCTCCCATCCCCCCACTCATCTCCCCTCTGACAACCACTGGTTTGTTCTCTGTATTTGAGTCTGTATTTTTGTCTCGTTTTTACTTTGTGCATTTGTTTTGTTTCTCAAATTCCACATATGAGTGAAATACAGTATTTGTCTTTCCCTATATAACTTATTTTGCTTAGCATTGTACTCTCTAGATCCATCCATGATGTTGCAAGTGACAAGATTTTATTTTTTATGGCAGGGTAATATCCCAGTAAATACATACATACATATACACACACACCACATCTTCTTTATCTATTTGTCTATGGATGAACATTTGTGTTGCTTATGTATCCTGGCTACCGTACATAATGCTGCAATTAACAGGGGTGCATATATCTTTTTGAATTAGTGTTTTTTGTATTTTTTTTAATTTTTTTTAATTTTTTTTTATTTACTTATGATAGAGAGAGAGGCAGAGACACAGGCAGAGGGAGAAGCAGGCTCCACGCACCGGGAGCCCGATGTGGGACTCGATCCCGGGTCTCCAGGATTGTGCCCCGGGCCAAAGCAGGCGCCAAACCAAACCGCTGCGCCACCCAGGGATCCCCGTTTTTTGTATTTTTTAAGTAAATACCCAATAGTGGAATCACTGGATCATATGGTAATATTATTTTTAATTTTTTGAGGAACCTCGATACTTTTTTCTACAGAAGCTGCTCCAGTTTACATTCCTACCAAAAGTACATGAGTTTTTTTTTTCTCCACTTCCTTGCCAAAACTTGTTATTTCTTGTGTTTTTTATTTTAGTCATTCTGACAGGTATGATACCTTTTTGTGGTTTTGATTTGCATTTCCAACAATGTGATGTTAAGCGTCTTTTCATGTTGGCCATTCATAGGTCACCTTTGGAAAAATGCCTATTCAGGTCCTCTGCCCATTTTAAATCAGATTATGTGGGGGTTTGGGTGTTGAGTTGCATAAGTTCTTTATATATTTTGGGTATTAACCCCTTGTCAGATACATAATTTGCAAATATCTTCTCCCATTCAGTAGGGAAAGCTGTGATTTTTATCTGAAGCAGTAAGATCTATACAAACATGTGAAAGTGGTGTGGTACCTTATCATGCAAAATACCTAATCCTGTCTTCTAATTTGGTTGGTTAATGTTATTCTAAAGTTGTTCTGAAAGCATTAGGGCTCAACCTAAACAGAAGCTTGATGAGCCTCTCACGTGCAAGCAGTAATACTTCAACTCCATTTTGAGTTCTTTTTTTCTCACCATAGACTTTTGCTTTTTTTTTTTTTTAAGATTCTATGTATTCATTCATATGAGACACGAAGAGAGAGGCAGAAACATAGGCAAAGGGAGAAACAGGCTCCCAGCAGGGAGCCTAATACAGGACTCCAGGAACATGACCTGAGCCAAAGGCAGATGCTCAGGCACTGAGCCACCAGGCATCCCAACTTTTGCTTTCTTAAGTGCAAATGATTTCTTAAGGTTATTCATTTATATCCCATTTTCCTCCAGTTTTAAATGATATGATACATTATAGTCTTCTTGTGATCAGCAAAGAATATAATTTGAGAAGTCAGTACTATTGGCAAATATCTGAAAAACAAACACACAAAAAAAGGCCATCCCATCTGGGGTTTTTGGTTCCCTTCATTATTTCCTTGCCAAAAATTTTAATTGGGTTTGTAAGAGGGGAATAAGAGGGGAATTTGAGAAATTTTGTTTTCCTGGTATAACCTGTGAAACAAAAGCAAAATAGATTAAGGCAGGGAAATAAATGAACTTATCAAGAGTGTTATTTTTCCCCTTGAGACTTTTTTTTTTTCAAATAAAACCCACAAACTTTGTAGTTTAAGTTTGAGACTTTTCCAATCCATATTTTCACATTTGATTATTCTCATAATTAATAACTGTACATAGAAAAGAGAATTTTTTTAAAACGTGTCATATCTATGAATCTGTTTTTCATTACTTACCTAAGTCTCTTTTTTTCCCACAGAATCGTTCAGAGAGAGACAATAAGAAAGGCCTGTGAACTTTGAAAGAAGATTGTGCTATGTCATGTGAAGATAATCAATTTGTTACCACGTTAGCCTCTAGAATATTTAAAATTTATTTTGGAAAAAGGTACTATTACAACCAGCCAATAATTTTTTTAATGCCACATATAGGCTATTATCATAACGGCATTGTGACAATATTTAATGTTGTTTGGGATATATTGTAAAGTCTGTACTCCAGCTCTCACATGAAATGTAAGCATGATAAGCACCCTATTGAGATGTTGAGAGTAATACTAGTATATGGTTGCTGTTTGCCAATAAAAGGACAAATTTGTAACCAGTTACTTCCAAAACTAGATTTTTAAGTTGATGAAACAATTAATAGCCTTAAAAGCTTTGATGAGTTTTCAGTAGTAATAATAATAATAGTAATAATAATAATAATTCATTTAATGAGATGATGATAATGCTGATATATTTGAAGATAATATTCAGTATCAGCAAATTTGTTCATAGGGAGATTAAATAAGGATAAATGATCAGAATTAGCCACTGTATTTATAAGGAAGAGTTATAAAGAGCAAAAAATAAAAACAATGACCTTAGTTGTTTTTTATAAGCCTGAGGATAGTTAACTCTTATATTGATAATTATATTTTTGTTACTGTGCTTCTATATCTGTTGGACTGTTTTTGTTGACATTGGTGTTAACACATAATTAGTAGGCATTACACCTTTTTTAAAGCTCATTTGGTAATGAAGTTTACACCTATATGCATAACTGCCATACACTGAACTTAAAATTATTTTACATCAATGTGGAATTCTTGACTCAGAAAGCTAATGTGTACATATCTAACGAGCAATATTTCCCATTATACAATTAGTAACTTTTACTAATTATACAAGTATTACCTCAACTATATATACACTGGGGTCACAGCTTCTCTGAGATGTATCAGTATTTTGAAAGTAAATCTTAAACACTATTTTTCCATTCATATTCCTTTAGAATCTTCTGTAGAACATGATAGTGACTCAGTAGTATTAATGATTTAGGTTGTTACAGTGTTTAGACATGAAAGTCACCTTCTTTGTCTCATCAAGACCTAAATATAAATGAAAGTGTAAAATAATGACCAGAGTTTTTACTTTCCCAACATCTGTTTCTTCCTTTGGTGTTTATTTTCATTTTAGCACCGACTTCATGCCTATCTGATTTTTGTCATTGTAACATAGATGAAATGAGCAAAAACGTAAGAATTTTATTTCAGATACAAGTCAGGAGCTACTGCTAGAAAACACACATGCAGAAGACATTTAACAGGAGTGAGCGCTGGAGTTAAACCATATGGGCTGACAACACCCTGAATAACAAGGAGGGGGAGTCTCAAGTAGGAGGGAGCTGAGCAGGCACAGCTTGGGTATCTCCTAGGAAATAGCAGAGTGGGCAAATATGAAGGTAACCGGCATTTGTGATCCTGGCCTCCTGAGCACAGAAATCAAGTCTAATGACAAAATAAGAGAGAGACAAGTAGAAGATGCGCAGCTTTAGAACTGCCAGAACTAAAATCAAATCCTAACCTTACCACTAATTTAGCTGTGTGATTTTGAACAAATTATTCCAACTTGCTAGACTTCTATTTCCTCATCTCCAAAATGGGAATAATAACACTTAGGTCAGGATTATGATGTAAACTAAGATGCCACAATGATCCTCATATTTTTTCAGACTGTGCAGCAAGGGGAAAGCCTGGGCACCCTTGGAAGATTGAGAGGTTGGCAGAAAGTGCTTAATTTAAAGCATATGTTTAAGTAACCTCAGACCTCAACCCTTTCAGTTTTGGAGACACCCTGAGGCCTTAAAAGTTTGTGCAATTTCCCCCAAAGCAGTGTGGACAGTTAGATTCAGGGCCAGGATCTGAGTGTATTCCAGTTCCCCAGACATTATGCTGGTGTTTATACACAGATTAATGATAATTTGCTAAATGAAATATTGTCGTGTATTAGCCAGCATTTGAACCCGAGGGAGTTTGGCTCCAGAGTCTCCATACTGAGCTGCCTCTCAAGCTATGCCTCTTTGTTCTTATTACTCTCCTTACCCCCCCGATGGTGCTTACCACGTCCTATTGTTATAAACAAACATGTATCCCGTGGACTTAGTTATACTGCATATTAAGTCATGTTCTTTAATATTGTCAGTAATGACTTCGCTATGTCTTAGAGGCTGGGTCATAGATTCCAACACAGGAGTGTTAGTCTTGCCCTTTTCCATCAGAGTTACACAGAGGTTTGCCAGATTCCCTACTTGTAAGTCTAACTTAAGGTTCTGGACTACAGAAAATAGTAATAAAAATAATAAAAAATAGTCTTAAGTAAGCACTCTAGAATTTGGCATGAGTCATCCTGGTTGCTTCCCTGGCTCTGTGTTGGGCCCAGTATTAATAACTGAGTTACCCTGACCCCCAGTCTAGAGCCTGGAGTTTAACTACTTTCTCTGCTATCCTGATGCCACCAGCCTGCCTGGATCTCTGAATACCCATGTTTATGGTTCCAGTGCTGGTCTCTGCTAGCCTGAACTGACACTCTGCTTCCTCCTTGGACCTTTCCTCTATAGCTGCTTGCGTGCACCTGCTTCTGTTGTCTTGCTCAGCCTCTGTGACTTGGTCTGGTTCCACTTCCCATTCCATTGTCCACTGCCTTCTCGCTATCCCTCCCTCCTATGCCCCACCACAGCAGCAGGGCCCATGCCCAGCACTACCATGTACCCATGGGATACATCTTGCATTCAAACACCCACTTGATACTGTGTAAATATGGCAGTCCTCAGAAACACTGACTTCGTATCTAGAGTGGGTTTGTCTAAAGTCCATGAAGCTCTTCTGAACTTTTCTTTTTATCCTTCAGCCCACCCTTCCTAGAATTCTTGAAAACTCCACTTACAAAAATTTTCTTTTGTTTTCTTTTATTAAGTGGCATTTTATTATTCCACAGTGGTGCCTTCCACCTTAATTGCTAAACAAACATGTCTTCCTTACTGTAGCCAAAGTGATTTCTAGCACTGCAGCACTAAAAGACAGCTCCCCAGAAATCATCCATGTCCTAATCCCCTGGAAGCTAGAAATATTCTCCTCCATGCAAAAGTGAGTACTACTTTATATGGCAAACTGTGTGATTAAGGATTGTGAGGTGGGGCAGCCCGGGTAGCTCAGCGGTTAGCGCCGCCTTCAGCCCGGGGTATGATCCTGAAGACCCGGGATTGAGTCCCACGTCAGGCTCCCTGCATGGAGCGTGCTTCTCCCTCCCTACATCTCTCTCTGTATGTCTCTCATGAAGACCCGGGATTGAGTCCCACGTCAGGCTCCCTGCAGGGAGCGTCCTTCTCCCTCCCTACATCTCTCTCTGTATGTCTCTCATGAATAAATAAATAAAGTCTTTTAAAAAAAAAAAAGGATCATGAGGTGGAAAGTTTGTCCTGAATAATCTGGGTGGGCCCTAAATACTGTCACAAACATGCTTAAAAAGGGGTAAGGAAGATGTCACCACACCAAGGAGGAGAAGCCACTGGGACCACAGAGGCAGAGACTGGAGTGCTATAGCCACCAGAGCTAGACGAGGCAAGAAGATTCTCCCTGGAGCCTCCTGAGGGAATGTGACCCTGCAGACACCGGTGAGACTGATTTTGGATCCTGGCCTCCAAATCTATGAGACAAAATTTATGTTCAGCCACCAAGTTTGTGGTAATGTGTTTACAGCAGCCACAGGAAGAAACTAATACAGGTACAGACGGCACAAATCTATCATGGGAATTTCACAATTTGTGGGAAATAGACACCTGTTAACACCACTTGGCCTTCCCAATAGCTGGGTAAATCAGAAATTGCCATAGCCATCTATGATCTTCGTTCTTTTTCTCCACAATTTTATTTTGCACTGTTTCCACTGCCAAACCCAGCTATCCTCCATTCTCACCTGAACAACTGGTCTCCCTATATTCTCTTACTCCTCTTCTAGTTCGTGCTTTCATAAATCATACCATTTCCTGCTTGAAGACCCTATTACCAAGACCTCACCAGGCTCCTCATTTACTTCCAACCCCACCTGCACTCTGATTTTTCTTACTAGGAGCCAAGTTCTTTTCTTTCAGGGCTTTTGCATGCACAGTACATCCTGCATTCCAACCCAATCTGTCTTGACCTTATTTTATTTTCATCATAGCTCTTATCACTGTCTGAAATTATTTCACTTTTGGTTTGGTTTTGTCTCCTGCACAGTGACAAACATAGTTCCTGGGCACAATAGAACAGTGTTTCTCAATAGCGAGTAAGGAAAATATAGCCAGGGACATTTAGCAATGTTTCAGGATGTTTTTGGTTGTCATAACTGGGGGAATGGTCCTGGTGGGAAGAGGCAAGAGACACTGCTAAGCCTACTCTACAATGCACAGGATAGCCAATACACACACAAAACAAGTTATCTGGCCCAAAATGTCAGGATTGCCAAGATTGAGATACCCTGCAATAGATGCTTGTGCCTGGGAATACTACTTATACCCCAATATCCATTCTTTCATTCATCTATGGTAATAGATCCCCCGATATTTTTACACACAGCTATCAAGCTTAAAGATGGTATTTTCTGTTCTCCTTGTAGGCAGCTATAAAAAGGAACGTCACATTTTAACAATTTCTTTGTTTTTCTTCTTCCACCCTGCTGCATGAAACAGATATCACCATCTTAGACCATGAGCTTGAGGTCATACAAGCTAAAGCAACAAGGTAGAAGGATGTTGTGCCCCTGACATATGTCCCTGAGCACCATACCTCCCCTGAATTGCCGTTCAATAAATAGCTGAATAACTGCATGACTTCCCTTATTTCACGTTTTTATTTATTTATTTAAGACAGAGCACGCATATGCAGGGAGAAGGACATAAGAAGAGGGAGAAGCAGGCACTCTTGCTGAGCTGTAAGTCCATACAACAGGACTCCATCCCAGGACCCTGGGATCAGGACCTGAACCAAAGGCAGACAGTCAACCGGCTCCCCAACATCAGCTATTTTTAATGCATTGTCTCTCTTAAAGGCCTAGATGTGAATGAAAAGCCAAAATTCGTTTGTCAGATATAGCACAAAACCATCAAATTTTTTCTTTCTCTTTCCTACTTGTAGAGTCTTGTCACCCCTGCCTTTTATGTGGTGATGATTTTAAATTACATTCTCTGTTTTGTCTGCGTGTTCAGCTTTTTACGTTTGTTTTTTATTTTTTTTTAAAGATTTTATTTATTCATGAGAGGCACAGAGAGAGAGAGAGAGAGGCAGAGACACAGGCAGAGGGAGAAGCATGCAGGGAGCCCGATGTGGGACTCGATCCCGGGACTCCAGGATCATGCCCTGGGCCAAAAGCAGGCGCTAAACCACTGAGCCACCCAGGGATCCCCAGCTTTTTGTGTTTAACTTAATCATTAGCACACCAGTAACTTGCAGTGTGCCCCCACTACATCTATGCTGAATTTCACTCCCAAACAGTTCAATAGAGAAGTAGACCTCTGGTCTATTCATGCCTCTTGTCTCTCTCTTTTTTTTTTTAAGATTTTATTTATTCATGAGAGACACACAGAGATAGAGAGGCAGAGACACAGGCAGAGGGAGAAGAAGCAGGCTCCATGCAGGGAACCTGATGTGGGACTCGATCCCAGGTCTCCAGGATCACGCCCTGGGCTAAAGGCGGCGCCAAACCACTGAACCACCCGGGCTGCCCACGTCTCTTGTCTCTGTTGTGACTCTTGCCACAAGGTGAGCAAACACCACATAACCAAGAGCTGTTACATCGTATATACACATGTAGTGCTAGAGGGCTAGAAGTATAATTATAGATATCAGGAAAAAATGAAGTTCCTACAGAGTTTAGTTCTCAGTGAGCAGCCTTTGTCCTAAATTTGAGCAAATTGCCCATGTGAAGTTTTGGCTTTGCTCCCCCCTCTCCCCAAACCAGATGCCTTCCTGGTTAGCCAGGTTTCTCCAGAAAGTGTACACTTCTCCAGAAATCTCTTCTCCCTGAAGCACCACCCATGGTAAAGAATCTCATTGTTCTTCCAAGACTGCCAATTTCCTGGAACACATTTAACCTCAGGACCTTCAGTCCTCAGCCCATGGCTCCCTG